CCTTCCAGCTCCTGATATTCTGTGATTCTGAACTGAGATCAAATTAGCATCACTAGATTTTTCAGAAAATGAACACTCAGTGACACTAGAATGCACTTTTCTGCATTGGTTGTACTTCAAATTTGCAATTTGTTCCTTATGCCAAAAAGGTTGTCTTGTTACACTCACTGAGCAAACTTTTTTAACCAGTAATACTATGCTTAAGCTTTCAATGACCTAGACAGATCTGAAGTAAGACCTTCAGGAGAAGAGTGTTATCAGACCTGAGCAAGAGTGCAGCAAGACTTTCAGTAAGACTTTTCCCTTCCTTGGAAAAATCTAAATCTGGAAACTAAAATCCCAAATAAGTCACAGTGGCATAAATGGCCATTAAGAGATCTATACTTACATTTGCTTGAACAATGACAAAATAACGTGTCTTTTCTTCATAATTCAGTCTTTCCCGTAGAACTACAGCTCCAGACAAAGTGAGAGGAATATCAAAGGTCCTGTTGGAACTCTGCAGAAGTTAAAACAGTATGACAAATCCGGACATGCTTCGAAGTTAAAATATGTTTCAAACAGGCCACAACAAAATGGCCTGTTGAATGGCACACCAAAATTGCATGTGCTTTTCATGTCAGAGTTCTTAAAGTTTTCCATTTTCTCCTTCCCCCACCCCACTCCCAGTTTACTCCATAGGAACCCCCACAACAGACAACCTGTATGTAACTAAATTCTCTGATTCCTGACATACATATTATTACTTTCAACCATGAACTGAAGCCTAACTATCTTGCTTCTTGCAGATTTGCCGTGTTAAATTTGCAGCTGCATATTCAGAAAAGCTTTCCCTATTTGCCAGCTGGAGAGCTCAGGTCTTCAGTTTCTGGAGTCTGGCTCTCTTTCACTTTGGCTCTCTTTCTCTTTCTACTTTTTCTCACTATTGTAGAAAGTATCAAGTATAAGAGATTAAGAAATCCATGTCATCATACTTATTATGTCCCCTTCACTCTGGCTTCTATGAGGGCAATGAAGTCACAAACATAGGGAGATCAACTCTGTGCACTCCAGTGCCAGTTCACAGCAGCAGTTAATGCACACATTTATACACTGGTAAATTCAGATTTCAGGGTAAATCAGGCAAAATTAATTTTTCCC